TTTTCACTTCCTTCTCTTTATGAATTGAGAGGGGTCGGTACAGGGGTTGGATTAGGAGTTTAGGTCGGATTTGATGTTTTGAGGATGAATTGGAAATGGAAGCTTACTTGGGGGACGTCAGTTTGGAAGGAGTCGTGGCTAGAGATTTAACCATTGGGGGGGAGCTATAGCGTGTTGTTTTGCAGATGGAGAAGACGGGGTCGAAGAAGAAGGGCCACTTTTTCTTTTGAAGTGACACTGTTCCTGCTTTAGAGCTTTTAGCTGATGTAATTTCGTTGCTTTTTCAAAGCTTGGCTCATATTTAAGCTTCTGTATTCTCAGTTGGTCGGGGAATTGCCCTTGGAACTGGCAAAGGTAGTGGAACTGTTTGTGCCCTCTACACGTAGAAGCTTGTGTGGAACGAGATCCTGCTGCCTGGAGCTTCCCTTTAGCCCTGCCAACGGCCTGCCATTCCCCCACTTCCTTCTGCGCAATCGCACAAGCGGCGAGCAAAGGTTTTACTGGGAATTGGGCCGCGCGGTGAACCCAACCGGGGGTTTTACCCCATCGGTCTCGGTCGCTGGCATGCACATTATAGGCAAAAGAAAGAGGGTAAGATAGGCGGCTAAGTGCTCCCCGACAATTTGAGGAGGGATCTCAAATACTGAAACATTGGTCCGACGCTTGCCCTCATATTCTGTTCTAAGAATGAGGTCTTTGGTGATTAAATCTCAACTGGATGAAGCTTCACTGTCTGCAGGCCTAGATAACCGTACGTTCAAAAAAGTTCTAATTTTTGGGAACTCACTATCCGTGCTACTGATTTTGAAGGAAAAGAAAAAAGAATCAAACAACCCACTTATTATGAAAATATTATGCAAAATGAGCACTACTGACATCAGACATGTTGGATTCTTAACCACGGTCATAATGAAGAAGACCTAGCAGCCAAATCGGCCTAAGATGTGAATTTGGATACAATGACCAAGATTCCATACACAGATGTAAGGAGTTTATTAATACATTCAAAAGGAATGGCAACGGTACTGGGATGATAACCCACACAATCAACTCTTCGCAATCCAGCCCAAACAAAGAGAATGGAAGACAGCTCCCAGAAAATCTCGTAAGGAAGAAGTGGTACTGGCCCGCATACACAATGTTCATACTATAATAAACCACACGTACTTATTAAAGAAAGATCAACCAGTATACTAATCATGTAAAACGGCATATACTATTAAACATATATTAATCGAGTGTTCAGATCTTGCTTTCTCAAGACTAAAATATTATAATATAAACAATATTTATGAGATGATCGAGAAAGTAAAAATGGATGATATAATTTCTTAAGACAGACTCTACCAAAAATGAGAATGTCAAAATCAATTTCTCTACAAACAATGTACCTGAAAAGAATACACCAATGAAAACAAACTCTCAACTCTTTACAAAAATATATCAATGAAACCGCATCTACGATTTCCTTACAAAGAATATATATCCTATTCATACGTATCTATTGTAAAAGTCTTGTCGACATTAAATAACCCACGAGGTTGATATGCCGTAAATTATAAACCAAATTATATTTCTCTTTTTACTGTTTTTGTTTGAATTATTTTTTTGTATTCTAGTTCGAATCTCCACTGTTTCTTAGGGCTAATTCCCGTTTGTTTGTTTTTTTCTTTATATTCACTGAATATTTTCGGCTAATAGAATTTGTTGAAATTCATTTATTTATAGATATGTACATTTGTTTAAATAAGTAAAGGGAATGGTTAACATTTTTGTTACTGTATATTGAGTTGTTGTTTGATTTTTTGTATGGTTTGTACGCTCTGTTGTTTAAACTGGATGTTATATTTAAGAAATTTATTATTTTTCGATTTGATTTTATATCTATTGTAAATTCTAGAGTTTTGAAGTTTTTTTTTTATTATTTCCTGTTTTATTTTATCTGTAGTCCTGCCGTTGCAGTTTCTTGGGACTTACAGACGGTCGTCCATTTATAGAGCTATATATTTTTGTTAAAATTATTTGTTAATGTATTTTTTTTTGTACATACGGCAATGAATTCGCCTAATCGCCATCATAGCTACCCACTTTTCCGTCGAAGTTACTGTTATTTTTTGTCACTTTTCTGTCCATATTTTTAATGCGGTATAATATTGATTCGCGGCAGTGTGTAATTATATTTATGTCCTTATTAGGGATATTGATGTATTATTTTTCTAAATTTAATGCATTCTTTAGTGCATGTGCAGTTATAGAGGGTTAAATTATTTTATATCTAATTGTATAAATGATCTTTTTTTGTTACTAATCTAATTGAGCCAATTGTTTTAGTATTCTTATTTTTGAGCATATTTTTGGGAATATATATATATATATATATATATATATATATATATATATTCAATTTAAATAGAAAACGGAAAAACTTTATTTCCCCCGGTATATAGTTTTTACCTGGTTCATCAGACTACACTTCCAAGGGTGAAAAAATATATAAATCTGTGTTTTTTTTTCCAATTTACCGTAATATGCCCATATATGTGAATTTATTCTTCATCTGCCTTTTCTTTTATTCTCTACACACTCTCTATGCCCCTTCCTTTCTTAAACCTCTAATTCCACTTCTCCTTTGTTATATCTTTACTCCTCTTTTTTCTCTTTATCTCCTTTCCTGTGAGATGACTTATTAAATATGTCAATGCCTTGTCCTTACCTCCTCCCTTACTCTTAAATATCGTAATAAACTAGATTTAAAATTATTCCTATCTCTTCCTTCCCTCTCTAATTTCGACCATGTCTCTCATACTCCTTCTCCCCCCTCTCTCTATATCACCTTACATCAACTTAAAACTACCCCTCAAAAGTGTATAAAACTATATGTAAATTTAAAACATTTTTTCACTCTTGGAAGTGCGGTCTGATGAACCAGGTAAAAACCATATACCTGGGTAAATAAATTATAACCAATTGACCCTTAAGGTTGTCTGTTTTCTATTTAAATTGAATTAATATATATATATATCCTAAATAGCAGGACAGACTGGGTTCTATAGTCCTGGATGGCAACTGGTCGAGGAGAAGGACAACTCTAAATTCAAAACCCGTGGAGGGTTGATTGGGGACCCTGTGGCACGTAGTGTACCATGTGTCTGTATTCGGCCCTTCAAAAAAATGTGGATGGTCCTGCACGAAAACTTCACAACTATAATCAAATCTCATTTGCTGTTGTCGGGTTGTCGGTTTCCTAGGAACTGATCTGCTTGACCCTCATATGTCGAATTCGACGGAAGAGTCGAATATATATATATATATATATATATATATATATATATATATAAAAAAAAAGGCAAACACTAATATTCCATGGTCATAATTTATTCTACTGGATTCGTAAATACGATCCAATTCATATATATATATATATATATATATATATATATATATTCATAATATTATATATATATATATATATATATATATATATATATATATATATATATATATATATATATATTATATTTATTCGTATACTGCCTTTTGGTACATGTGCTTGGGGCGTATTTGAATTTTGAAATTATTTAAATTTGTGTGGAAAGATAACATTTAATCTAGAAATAACATTAAATGCATTGATCTATATAATGCATGCATATTTAGTTTTGTTTCAAAAACTAAACTATATAATAAGAGGAATGACTTCGCGAACCTATTAAGGTCGTTAAATCCGCCATCATGATGTATCACTAAATACGAGTAAAACCAAATGAGATCTAGGGACCCCTATTTAAGGTTGTGAAAATAATATTTAACTTCACCGATATTTAATATTTTTCGGTCGGGTGGGGGGGGTTAAAAAATATATTCTCTTTCATCGATTTGATTTTTTTCCGATAAATTGTAGGTTGCAGAGGGAGGAGAGGAAAAAAATAGAATTACCTAAATGTCCTACAAAATAACATTTCATTCCGATATTTTCAACGACTCAAAATCGTGCCGTCCTCGGAATGACGATAAACTACGTCCAGCAGCAAGGCCTCTGATCAGGAGGTTTTGAAGAGCGTGGAATCACCTCTTAATTGCTGGCGTTTCTAGGTTCACCCTGACCCAGGGTAGTAGCACCTGTTATGGTCCCAGCTATGGGTAAATAGTTAACCACCAAACAGGGGTCAAAACATTCTGAAAGTGTAAAAATATGTTTTAATACCAGCAATACTTTTTTGAAGAAAAAAATATTACCAGTTATATATTAACAAAAATTACCAGCAATACATTTTTTTATAAAAAAAATGTATTAACATCAATAAAAATCTTGTCGACATTAAATAATCCATTGAGGTTGATATACCGTAAAACTAAACAAACGAAACGAAACGAAACAAAGCATGGAAAACTGCACTTTTTTAAGAATAGGCTATAAATATTAATATTTAAATTTTACAACGGTTAGTTTTAAATCAGTACCCGAAGATTACTGCGTGCAACTCAGAGTTTCACAAAATGGTGAAGAAATTATCTATAGTCATCATTAATAATGTAGATTTTAGCTCTGTTATTTTATTACCATCAGAACTCACAGTGCAATATTTTGTACAATTTCTACACTCTTTTATTCCCACCAAACCGAAAAATTTTAAGAATACAAGAAAAACTCAATTAGAAATTTTCCTTGTCAGTTATATTCAACAAAACATGTCGGCATTCATTGAGGTTGATATGCCGTAAAACTAAACAAACCACACTAATATATACAGGGATAGATAGATAGATAGATAGATAGATAGATAGATAGATAGATAGATAGATAGATATTAAGAGTCCGAGAGAGACAGATAGACATGAAGAGACCAAAATAGATAGATAGATAGATAGATAGATATTAAGAGACCGAGAGAGACAGATAGACATAGAGAGACCAAGATAGATAGATAGATAGATATGAAGAGACCAAGAGAGACAGATAGACATAGAGAGACCAAGATAGATAGATAGATAGATAGATATTAAGAGACCGAGAGAGACAGATAGACATAGAGAGACCAAGATAGATAGATAGATAGATAGATAGATAGATAGATAGATAGATAGATATTAAGAGACCGAGAGAGACAGATAGACATAGAGAGACCATAATAGATAGATAGATAGATATGAAGAGACCAAGAGAGACAGATAGACATAGAGAGACCAAGATAGATAGATAGATAGATATTAAGAGACCGAGAGAGACAGATAGACATAGAGAGACCAAGATAGATAGATAGATAGATATATAGATAGATAGATAGATAGATATTAAGAGACCAAAGGAGACAGATAGACATGAAGAGACCAAGATAGAAAAATAGATAAAAAATATTACGAGCAATAAAAATCTTAGCGGCATTAAATAACCCATTAAGATTGATATGCCGTAAAACAAAACAAATCAAACCCATATATACTGAGATAGATAGATAGATAGATAGATAGATAGATAGATAGATAGATAAAAATATTACCAGCAATACATATCCTGTCGGCATTAAATGACCCATTGAGGTTGATATGCCGTAAAATAAAAAAATAAAAAAACAATCCAAATCGTGTGCAGATGGAAAAAGGGCTTACAGTTGTCGAATCAAACACAGCAGCTTTTGAAATCCCTAGTGACCTTTTAACAAAAATAGTATAAATCCTTCAAATATATTGTTTAGCCATGTTTATCTTTTCCCTGCTACCTGCTGTTTCTAGATTTCAATAACATTTTTTTTTCTTTATACATTTTCTTTATTTTCCACTTCGATCTCTTTATATAATGAATAAAATATTATGGTCGGGGTTTTGTTTGGCGCAGTAAGGGTCTGTTTTATAGAATCTAAAGCATTGCAAAACTGTTAAGCAAGTGTTGAGTAGGGTAGATAGTCGTTCTCGCAGTGGTGCGAAGAAAGGAAGCGGGAGTTTTTTTTTTCTTTTCTAAATTGAATCGCTTATCAGTTGGGAAGCATTTTAAAAATTCCTCTCTCGAGTTATCTGCCCTTTGTAATTGTATTGGATGGAAAGGGGGTTTGAAAGGAAGAAAAAAAGCTCGATGAGGCATTTTTAAGTTCTTTTTTCGCGTTGTCTGGAATTTTAAGTGCATCTCTTTGATTCTGTAGTAAGCCTGAAAGCATATTGCACTCAGATGTTGTGGGGGCGGTGTGAAATATATATTAATCTAGTATCGAATGTCAGACTTCGAAATTTAATAGCAAGATGTCTGTAACGATTCATACAATTTTTTTCTTTTGTTATTTTACTATCGAGAACTAGTTGTGCGGCCTAAGCAACCAATCAGAAGAGACTTTACCGTAGAATTGTACTTGCGTACCCTCTAATCCAAGGGTAGGTAACCTATTGAGGTTGATATGACGTCCGCTACCCCGAAAAATGGGTTCAAATACTATGAATGTGTAAAAATAGGTTTTAATACCAACAATAATTTGTTTGAGGAAAAATTGTTACCAGAAATACATTATTACCAGAAAAACATTTTTGAAGGAAAAAATATTACATTTTTGGAAAAATGTTACCAACAAACATTTTATATTATTTATATTATTTATTATTTATATTATCTTGCAAGCATTAAATGTCCCATAGAGGTTGATATGCCGTAAAACAATCCAAACCAGGACGACCCCTCGTGGGTCGCAGTCCTGGGTATGACGATAAACTACATCCGTGTCCTGGGTAAGACGATAAACTACATCCGTGTCCTGGGTATGACGATAAACTACATCTGCGTCCTGGGTAAGACGATAAACTACATCCGCGTCCTGGGTAAAACGATGAACTACATCCACGTCCTGGGTGAGACGATAAACTACGTCCAACAGCAAGGCCTCTTATCAGAAGGTTTTCAGGAGCGTGGAACCATCTCTTAATTGCTGGTGTTCCCAGGTCCACACTGACCCGGGGTGGTAGCACCTGTTAGGGTCCCAGCTATGGGCAAATAATTAAACCCCAAACTGGGGTCCAAATACTATGAAAGTATGAAAAATAGATTTTAATACCAGAAATAATTTGTAAAAAAATTATTACCAACAATACATTATTACCAAAAAAATTTTTGAAGAAAAATATTACCAGAAATAGATTTTTGAATAAAAAAATATTAACAGCAAAAAAATAAAACATTAGCAGCAATAAAAATGCTGTCGGTATTAAATAACCCATTGAGGTTGATATGCCGTAAAACAAACCAAACCAAATCAATATATAAGGAGATAGATAGATAGATAGATAGATAGATAGATAGATAGATAGATAGATAGATAGATAATAAAAATATTACCAAGAATAAAAATGTTGTCGGCATTAAATAACCCATTGAATTTGATATGCCGTAAAACAAAACAAATCAAATCAATATATACTTAGATAGATAGATAGATAGATAGATAGATAGATAGATAGATAGATAGATAGATAGATGAAAAAAAATATTACCAGCCATAAAAATCTTGTCGGCATTAAATAACCCATTGAGGATGATATGCCGTAAAACAAACCAAACCAAACATGTCTTCCTTTAATCTTATAAGGCTTCTATAAACATTTCTCTCGAACTCATTTCATTTGAGTTGATCTAATTTTTTAGAAATTTTGTTCTTTCTGTAATAACCAGCTTCTTTGGTCGAATACTTCTTTTTATAACGGTTGAAATTTCCTCATATTTTAAGTCTTCCAGTATTTTGGGGGACACAATAATGGATATTTTCTTTATGGCTTCAAATCCTGCCCGAGCCAAAAATAAATCAGTAATTTCGTTCTCCCTACTCTGGAGGCTTTTATGTCTTTCAGTTTCTTTAGCCTAACCAACGCTAGAAAACATCTTCTGCAGAGGGAAAAGATCCCCCACCCAAAGACATGGGTGGGGACCTGAAATACATTGGGACGGAAACGGGGTATATAAGGGGTCAAGTGACACCTCTTTGGTACTTATTTGGGCTAGACGTGCGGATCAATTGTATGGTCATCTCAATCTTTGGAACCCATATAAATGAGCTCGACATTGTCTCACAAACTGATCCCATAAAGATCAAACACCATACCCTTTAATATCTTAAACTTGCTAGAAGACGATGTTTTAAGGTCAATCGAAGCGGAAAGAAACAAACTTTGACCAGTGTTTTAAATTGATGCCTCAGATTTTGGGGGATATTAGCGCTCAAAATTAATAGGGGTTCAAAGTGCGTTCTCGATGAGAGGATACTGGTCGATGTATACTCGTCTAAATCAAGGGGAAAGAGTTTAACCTATCTAGTAAATTCCTAACAGTAAATGGACTCCGTGATGTAACAAAAACCTCTAATACAGAAACAGAAGCCAAAACAGAATTTCCGTCCACCAACTCTCAAAATAAATATATTCGTAAAGTCCCTCAAGAAACATGAATAGCCAACAAAAAAAAACTACCCCCGTCACCTGGTGTACGGCCATATCACGTTGAAACCCCGGTTCCGCTACGATGACCCAAGTTAAGCAAAGCCTAGACAGGTGACCAAATTGGGAATACCAGGCGTTGCAAGCTTGGATGTGCGGGTGGTGTAATTGATAATGACTCGGAATTGATAAACGTTAACTTCCAATTCCATTTGGAATCGTTATATTTACTTACGCGCAAATACTCATAAAAAAAATATGAATCCAACTGTTCTCCCCCAGATATGGGTTAAATAGCAAGAATTGTATCGATAAACCATTATTATCTCAAAAGAAGATTATTATAATCTAAATAGCCTACGAATTACCAAACTTCTCAACAAATATACAAACGAAGATTTTGGGGCGTATTGGCGCTCAAAATTAACAGGGGTTCAAAGTGCGTTCTCGATGAGAGGATACTGGTGGATGTATACTCGTCTAAATCAAGGGGGATGAGTTTAACCTGTCTAGTAAATTCCCAACAGTAAATGGACTCTGTGATAGAACAAAAAACTCTAAAGAAATCTCTCTGACTCTGATACAGAGACAGAAGCCAAAAAACAGAATTTCCATTCACCAACTCTCAAATTAAATATATTCGTAAAGCCCCCAAATAGCGAACACAAAAACCGTAAGTTAAGCAACACCTAGATAGGTGAGCAATTGGGAATACCAGGTGATGTATGCTTGGATGTGCGGGTGGTGTAATAAATAATGGTTCGGAATTTTTAATCAGAGAGTCGAGTTCCCGTACGATCACCGAAGTTAAGCAACGTCGAGCCTGGTACCTATAGAAGCTATCACTGATCGTTACACAATCCATCTTATCTACACAAGTGGCTCAAAGGATGGCATCAAATTGGACGGGCTGCCATAAAAAACAAAAAACGTAATAAAGTGACTTCCGAACAATAGCTCTATATTTAACGCAGAGGTTGTGGCCATAGATTCAGCTCTTGGCATTATAGCCAAAGGCAAAAATAAAAATTATCACATATTCAGACTCGCAGTGCTCAAAGCAAAAAAAAAAAATGCTAAACCCACTCATTATAATTAAACATTTAAACAGAATTTAATATTTGTCAGCGTATAAGGATATCATCTTCTGCTAGTTGCCTAGCCATATCGACATCAAGGTCAGTGACAGGGACGATTCGGCAGCCAAAAAATAACAAGCAAACCCGAAACTCCACAAGTACCTTGTTGGGCAACCGCTTGGGAACACCAGGTTGGATGTGCGGGTGGTGCAATTGATAATGAATCCGAATTGTTAATCGTTAACATCCAATTCCCTTTCGATTCATTATATTCACTTACGCTAAAACCCTCTAGGGAAAGGTATGAATCCAACTGTTCTCCCCCAGCTATGGGTTAATTAGCAAGAAATTTATCGATAAACAATAATTATCACAGAAGAAATTTATTACAATCTAAACTGCCTATGAATTACAAAATTTCTCAACAAATCAAAAATAAACGTTGCAACTGTTCATGAATCTGTCAACTTTAAGGCACCAACCTGATCGATAAAGCAGCCGACAACACACCTAAATCTGAATAAATTTCCCCAAAGTACAAACAATCCCATCATCTTCCATAAAAAAATATCGAATCTATCACTGATGGTTACACAAACCATCTTCTTATCTACACAGATGGATTAAAAGATGGAAGGCGTTGCCATACACAACAAAACAAAAGCAATGAAGGGATTTCCGAACAATAGATCTATATTCAACGCAGAGGTGGTGGCTATAGATTCAGACTCTATATCAGTACAGAAATCACTAATTTATGGATTTAAGCTATGAATTTAAGCGTGTTACTAGATTGGCATTTCGGTCCCATCCTTTCACTCTCGAAATGGTTAAATGTAACCGCTTCTTCTATTCCAAGAGATTCTTCTCTCGTACTTCCCGACAGTGGAATTCCCTTCCTTATACTTGCTTCCCTGATAAGTATAATCTTCAAATATTCAAATGTAATGTCAACCTGATGTCTTGATCCTGATCACCGTCCTTCTCTTTATCTTTTCCTCAAACAACCCTCTTTCCTTTTGTTCTCACTCTCTGTAACCCCTTGCGTGGCTTACTTGGGGCGAAATGCTTAAAAAAACGAAAACATAGAAACTATCACTCACCGTTACACAATCCATCTTATCTACACGGATGGCTCAAAGGATGGCATCAAATTGGATGGGAGCCATAAAAAAAAAGTAATGAAGTGACTTCCGAACAATAGCTCTATATTTAACGCAGAGTTGGTGGCCATAGATTCGGCTCTTAGCATTATAACCAAACGCAAACACAAATTATCACCTTTTCAGACTATGTCAGACTCACAGCGCTCAAAGTCAAAAAAGAAAATGCTAAACCCACTCATTATAATTAAACTTTTACAGAATTTAATATTTGTCAGCATCAAAGTGTAGTATCTGCGCTTTGTGAGCTGCCGTGTCTGTCGAACTCTCTGCTTGCAGAGAGGAACCCGGATGAAGCTCCGCCGAAGGGTGGGGTTTCGTTGGGGGAGGTTGACGGAACTAGCCCGCTTGGACGGGTTTAGATGGGTTTTATTTTTGGCTGGGCCTACGGGCTCAGACATACCCACATTAAAAAGGCCTTGTGCCACATTCAATTCCTGTGGGTGAATTGATAAATACCATATAAGGATATCATCTTCTGCTAGTTGCCTAGCCATATCGACATCAAGGTCAGTGACAGGGACGGTTCGGCAGTCAAAAAATAACAAACATGAAACTCCACAAGTTTATTAGATAATTCCAACACCAACATACCCTACACAGACCTCGACATCAATCATTAACATATTTATCAAATAAGAATGGCAGGAACGATGGAACAGCTGCCTAAACAACAAATTATACATCAAACCTACAATAGAAGATTGCCATCAAACACTAAAAACAAGGAAAGATGAATTAATAATGTCCAGACTTCATATCGGACACTCGATGAAAACACATTCATATATTCAAAAACTAGAGCCACCAACAATCTGTACGACCTGCCAAAAAAAATATAACAAATAGTAACAAATTGTAGTGACTTCAGCCAAATCCGCTGTCCTGGGTACGACGATAAACTACATACGGCAGCAAGGCCTCTGATCAGGAGGTTTTGAGGAGCGTGGAATCATCTCTTAATTGCTGGTGTTCCCAGGTCCACCCTGACCTGGGTTGGTAGCACCTGTTAGGGTCCCAGCTATAGGCAAATAGTTAACTCACCAAACTGGGGTCAAAACGTGTGAAAATAGGTTTTAATACCAGCAAAACATTTTTGAAAAAAAAATATTACCAACAATATATTTTTGAAAAAAAAATTACCAGCTATACATATTTGAAGAAAGATTATTACCAGAAATAGTTTTTTTTATGGAAAAATATTACCAGAAATAGATTTTTGAAAAAAGAATAATTACAAACAATAACAATTTTGTCGGCATTAAATAACCCATTGAGTTTGATATGCCGTAAAGCAAAACAAACCAATCAGCCAAACCAGTTTAAAATACTACCGAACAATCAATATAAAAGAATTCTTTCATGGCATTAATCTTATAATTCCTTAAAGTAATACAACTGTATTTCAAAACATAATTCCAACAAAATTATAACAAAAACACACACATCACCACCTCATAATTATGTTCACAGAAACATATACATGCATTACTGAGTATTATCTACCATGTACTCAACTGTGAAAGTAGAATAATATATATAATATTTTTATTACTTCAAAGCTAAAAAAATTAATTTCGATATCAAATGACCCATAAGGAGTTGATATGCCGTTAAACAAACAAATCAATCGACCACAAAAACAAATTTGAGACCATATAGAGAATGCATGATATCCCATCAAAAAACTCCAAACTAAAATAAAACCACTAAAAAATACATTTTATCGTAAAATTGCCAGAAAGACGTTTTTACAGCAAAATAATTAATACATTTTTACAACAAAATGATCACCAATACCTTTTTACAGCAAAATGACCAAGAATACATTTTGCATCAAAATGGCAATCAGTACATTTTACAGCAAAATGACTGCCACTACATTTTATACTAAAATTGAAGATATAGCACACATTGTCAAAAATATTTGCTATGATTAAACTCGTTTCTTGTAAGAAGAAAGATTTCACTCTGCGTTTGATTACTTTTTAATACAGTGAACTAATTATACTTTAATCACGAAATAACGTATTTTTTCTTGAATTAATTATAGAGTTTGAATTTTCATACTTAGATGTGTGCATTAAATAACACAGACCGGTGAATATACAAAAGAACAAAAACAACCAGACAAAAAATCATCCACTCATACTAGCTGAAGAATGAAGATTAAACAACATGCACAAGATGCCAAGTCACACACATGGTGAAACACATTTTAACTGAGTACACGGACTTAGTTCCTGTAAGACATAAATACTATAAGGAAAGAAATCTGAGAAAAATATAGCTCGTCCTGTGTATGACGATAAACTGCATCCGACATCAAGGCTTCTCATTAGGAGGTTTTGAGGAACGTGGAAGCACTTCTTAATGTCTGAACGACACATGGCAGAGTGGATAAAGGCGTTAGTTAGTTCCAGTGACACGTCCCAAAGAGTGTGAGTTCAATACCCGATTAAGGCAGTGGAGAACTTTCAGAGGGAAATTAACAGATAACTGATAACTGACATCCATTAAACATGGCACGCGAAACTAGAACAGTCTACCCCAGTGAGCGAAATAAAGGGTTCAGTTCGACATTCCAACTACCTGAAGAAGGCCGGAGCGTACAACGGCCAAAACGTTGTAATAAATATAGCGACAAATAGACCGAATAATAATAAATAGTAAATAATGTATATAATACCTCATATCAGAAATAAAGACTCACCTCATAATTGCTGGTGTTCCCAGTTCCAAACTGACCAGAGTGGTAGCACCTGTTAGGGTCCCGGCTATGGGCAAAGACTTAACACCCAAACCAAACTACGTCCGACTGCAAGGCCTCTGATCATTTAGGGTCCGAATGATGGGCAAAAAGTTAACCCTCCAAACTGGGGTCAAAACACTAAGAAAGTGTAAAAATAGGTTTTAATACCAGCAATACTTTTTGTATGAAAATTATTACAAGCAATACATTTTTGAAGAAAAATTATTAGCAGCAATAAAAATACTGTAGGCATTAAATAACACGTTGAGGTGTTGATATGCCATAAAACAAATCAAACCAAACAAATATATACTAAGATAGATAGATAGATAGATAGATAGATAGATAGATAGATAAAAATAGACTTAGATAGATAGATAAAAAATATTACCAGCAATAAAAAAACTTGTCGGCATTAAATAACACATTGAGGTTGATATGCCGTAAAACAAAACAAACCAAACAAATATATACTGATATATATATATATATATATATATATATATATATATATATATATAGAGAGAGAGAGAGAGAGAGAGAGAGACACAGAGTCATAGATAGATAGATAGATAGATAGATAGATAGATAGATAGATAGATAGATAGATAAAAATATATTACCTGCAATAAAAATCTTGTCGGCATTAAATAAACCATTGACGTTGATATGCCGTAAAACAAACCAAACAAAACCAATAGATAGATAGATAGATAGATAGATAGATAGATAGATAGATAAAAAAAATATTACCAGCAATAAAAATCTTGTCCGCATTAAATGACCCATTTAGGTTGATATGCCGTAAAACAAACCAAACCAAAAAGCTTATGATACAACCGGCCACGGAAAATGAAAGATTTTTAACCCCTTCCAAAAACCTCACCTGTGTATAATACAGCCTCCTATTTAATTATTTTTTTCAGTAAAACATTTGATCATATAACTCATTCTATACTCAAACATTTTCTTTCACTGTTCTAATTTGACTTTAGTTTGCTGTACCATATTTTGATCGTCTGTTAAAATTTTTTCCAGATAATTTCCCTAAATTACATATTTATAAACTCAATTTTTAAATAAAATCCAATCGTTTAACAAACTACTAATATAAATGAAATTATTCATTATTCTCGTCTTATCTTTATAGATACGATACACCGTGGCAGTGAATTTTCCGAAGTCGGTCACCTGATTTACCGGATTTGGACGAAAGGAACCAATCTGGAGAAACTTTGGTAGAAACGCCACTCTCCTTCGCCAGTTTAATTAATCCGTTCCCCAACTCCAGTCACAAGAGCCATCCACCATGATACGTCGATGGGCGAGTCGTCCCAAACTGTTGATGTGTTGTTGCTGCCACTGTGTCGCTCGCAAGAGAAAATCAAGCAGTCTTATCACACTGGTATGCACCGGCTTCCTCGTTCTGGCAGTGACCACAGTTCTCATCAGCTGCCTCGGTCTTTTGTTCGCTAGCCACACAAGTGCCGGGGTTGTAGTCGACGAATATGGAGACGGTGGTCGGCGGAGGCGAGATTCGATCGATACAGGCACCCGAAGACAGACACATGCTTATAACCATAGTGTTCCCATTGATGGCAGTGGTAATCACGACGCTACGAAGCTGACAGCCTCTCCCGGCAGTGGGATAAGGTTTTGGGCGGCCGCCGCCGCAGTTCAAAGTGCCGTCCACCACATTAGCAATCTAGCCTTGAGCACTCTTAACGAGCCGGCCAACGGCACACAGAAACAGAACAGCAGTGAATATCCTCTAAACAGGACCGGCCAAGAAGCGACAACTTCAGCCCGACCCTCTGAAAGATACCAGTTTTTCAGTCCGGTTGAAGCCAAAGCGATCTACAAAGCCGTCGACTCTAATGCTATCATCAAACTTCTGATGACCAAAACTCGAACGTTGTGCGATGGTCACTTGAATTTATACGGCAGTTGTTTGGTTGAGCTTCTTAATGTCACCATCGTCCGCAGATACGCAACCAATGTGAGGGGCGGGGAAAAACTGGAGTCTGTCCTCGGGCAGAAAGAAAAAATGGAGTATTTCTCTGTGACTCGTGGTTTTTACAGCATGTCTCTTTGCAGCGACGGTGATCTAAGAACGGCTTCGGGCGTTGCGGATAAGTATTTGAGGCCATGGGTTAAATCTATCAAAACTGGTGGGAATCTGACCAGCGATGACGGACATCCTCCTGCTTATTGGGCCGGGTTATCCATTACAATTGTCCGCAATGAATACGCAAACCTCTATTGGACGCTAATTGATATCTATGATATATTTTTACTGGCCCATGGCTTTCTCGTCCGGCCTCAATATGTGACAGTTATTATCATGGACGCCCACCCACAGGGCTTACTAGATCCCCTCTGGAGTCTTGTCTTCGGAAAGGTGGTACGTTTTAAAGAATTACCTCCTGCCGTGACATTCAAGCAGATGGTTTGGTCGATGCATCGAAGTAAAGGTCCCTTGGCGCATATAATCTCAGCCTATCAGCTGCGTGTCCCTTTTCTCGAGGATCTTCGCGATGTCATTCAAAAGAAGCTGCACGTTGTTCAATCTACTGCATCTGTTCAAAACAAGTGCGCCACCAACTCCAGTCTAAACATTCTTTTCGTTCTCCGAAGGGACTATGTTGCACATGCGCGCAACCCGACGGGCAAGATATTGCGCAAACTTTCAAACGAACAAGAAATCCTCCAAGCGGTCACCGACGCCTACCGAACCCACTCAGTGGCTGGTCTTCAGCTGGAAACTGTCAGCATCGATGACCAGATCCGGAACATTTCAAACACGGACATCTTGATTGGTGTCCACGGGGCTGGACTGGCCCACGTTATTTTTCAACAGGTCGGCCGCGCCGTAATCGAGATTTTTCCTAGTGCCTATGGAATTTATAAGAACGACCATTTCGAGCGTCTTGCCCGCTGGAGTGGCGTGCATTACTTGAAGTTTCATAATGTCAACCAGAGATTACAGGATAGACGTGCCGAATTCATTCGTTTACAGCCACGGACGATCATTGTACTCATTAAAAACGCCATATCGCTAATCTGTAAGCAGTTTAATTTGTAAATACTTTTGTGTATAAAATATATTTAAAACCGATATGTTATTCATTTTTGTTACATATATTAAACTAATATCTTTATTTCAAGATCCGTATTCCAGTAATCAACAGCGTCATGATGAAAGGTACTTTTAAGTTTGTTTCTTTTTCCTTTTTTTTACATAGTTTAATCTATCCTGGGTATGACGAAAAACTACACCCGCGTTCTGGGTAAGACGATAAACTACGTCCAACAGCAAGGCCTCTGATCAGGAGGTTTTGAGGAGCTTGGGACCACCTCTTAATTGCTGGTGGTCTCAGGTCCACCTTGACCGTGGTGGTAGCACCAGCTATGGGAAAATAGTTAACACCCAAACTTGTGTAAAAAAATAGGTTTTAATACACGAACTACTTTGTAATAAAAAAATATTACCAGCAATAATTTTTGAAGGAAAAATTATTATCAGCAACGCTTTAAAAAAAAACTGCAATTCAAATTAAATTTCCTAAAAGAAGTTGGATTGTACTCAAAAATGTGAGTAATTGAAAAATGGTTCAAATATATATATGTATACATACACCTTTTTTTAATATCAAACTATCGCTATGAATCTATTTCAAAATCTTGTTAGTATTAAATGACCCATTAAGGTTGATGTGTCATAAAACAAAGGAAGCAACCAGCATAATTTATTCATAAAATAAAGTCCCAATCTATAAAAAGTATATACAACCAACAAGTGCAGTACTAGATTGATGTTGAGATTTCATCAATTTACAGTTGAGCTGGCTAGATGCAGCCGTAAATTCTATGCTAGCAGTTTCGTTTCTCGTGCTTCTCCCTTGTCGAACACGCTTCCACTCCATGCTTTCCAGTCAAAAATTTAAATGCAATATCAATCGCCATCTACTGTCCTTTTGATTACTCTTTCCTATTCATTATTAATGTTTCTGTTCCTAATTCTTCCACACTCTTTAACCCCTTGTGTCTTGTGTCCTGGCCATGACAATAAACTACATCCGCACCCTGGGTAAGATGATAAACTACGTCCAACAGCAAGGCCTCTGATCAGGAGGTTTTGAGGAACGTGGTACCACCTCTTAATTGCTGATATTCCCTGGTCCACCCCGACACGGGGTGGTAGCACCTGTTAGGGGCCCAGCTATGAGAAAATAGTTAACCCCCAAACTGGGGTCAAAACACTGCGAAAGTTTAAAAATAGGTTTTAAAATCAGAAACATTTTGTAAAGAATTATTGCCAACAATGGATTTTTAAAGAGTTTATTACCAGCAATATATTTTTAAGAGCAATACATTTGTGGAAAAAGATATTAGCAGAAATAGGTTTTTTGAAGGAAAAAATTTTACCAGAAATACCGTTTTGAGAAAGAAAATATTACCAGCAATAAAATTTTTGTCGGCATTAAATAACCGATTGAGGTGTTGATATGCCGTAAACCAAACCCTTGTGTCTTAGTGGCTTTATCGCCTTGCATAGGGTGATACACATTAAAAATAAAGCCAAAAAGAAAGAAGTCCTGGTTAAGACGATAAACTACATCCGACAGCATGGACTTGAGGAATCTGAATTGCTGGTGTTCCCAGGTCCACCCTGACCTGGGGTAGAAACACATGCCAGGGTACCAATTATGAAAGTGTAAAAATAGGTTTTAATACTAGCAATACATTTTTGAAAAAAAAGAAGTTACCAGCTGTAAAAATCTTCTCAGAATTAAATAACCCATTGAAGTTGATTTATTTTTTTTAACCAAGTCACCCCTGGGAGTGCCACTAACACGCAAGGGGTTACAGAGAGTATGAGTAAAGAGGAGTGGTTGGGAAGAGGATAAAGAAGAGAACGAGGATCAAGTTCAATGCATCAGAGATGTCGATTGACATTACATTTAAATATTTGAAGATTATAGCTATTAGGGAAGCAACAGGAAGGGAGTTCCACTGTCGGGAAGTGAGAGCTAAAAAGCAGTTGGAGTAGAAGCGGCGGTTACATTCAACTGTTTCGACGGCGAAAAGGTGGGACCGAGTTGCCAACCAATCAGTACGATTAAATATATACAGTTTGGGAACAAGTGAAACTAGCTCCACAGAGCAATTGCCAGGAAAATAATTGTAGAAAAAAACAGAGGGAAGTCACAGAACGTGTGTGAGAAAGTGACTGAAGTCGAGACCCCAAGTCAGGACCTGTCACATTGCATATCCGTCTCTGGATTTTGTCGAAAAATTCGAGATGCACAGCGAGAGAACCAGACCATATATGGAAGCAGTAATCCATTCAAGGACGAATGGTTGATTTGAATGAGGGACTCAGGTAAAAAAAAAAAACCTTCTGGCGCAACACAGAGAACCAACTTTCCTTGCGGTAGATGAAGCTATAGATTCAATGTAGTGTTTCACTTCAGGTCAGTGAACAGCGTGAGACCAATCAAACGCAGAGAGGCGCTCTCGTATGCCGTAAAACAAACCAACATGAACCAACAAAAGAACAAAAATTACAAGATTATCATAATCCTTCGCTTTCCCTAATCTTTTACCCTCAAGCAAGGACATAATGCCATTAAGACACAATGGACGACTGGGAGTGAAAGAAGAAGACGATAGAAAAAGGTGTAAGGTGTAATATGTCAGAAAGGCTGGCTCTTCGTTTGTAACAATGTTTGTCTGCTGTGGTGGTATGGGATTATACTCCATCTACACTGAACGGAGCTTAGTTACTGTTTCTCGGTCTAAACCACTAACCTTAATCGCTCGATCACGATGACTTGCGACTTATTGCTAAACAACCACCGAAGGCTTTCTAACAGCTTCGACTTCCCAATTTCATTCATAGGTCTTGCTTCAATCCTTGGTAGCACCACCTTGGACGATAACGCAACCGAAAACGCTCCTAAACCTGGAAAGATTGCTCCAAAACACACCCAGACCCATTACTTTCAATATGATAGGTCCTGATCTGGCATATCGTCTACAGTCACTTTCTCACAGACGTGATGTGGTTTCCTCTGTCTTTTCTACAAATATTTTCATGGCAACTGCTCTGACGATCTACTGATACCTCAACTGCATGAATTTAAGCTGGCAACTCGATTGGCATTTCGGTCCCACCCTCTCATTGTTGAAACAGTTAAATGTAACCAACTTTTCTATTCCAACAGTCTCTTTTCCCGACATTAGAACTCTCTTCTTCATACTTACTTCCCCAATGGCTATAATCTTCAAATATTCAAATGTAATGTTAATTTGATGCCTTGATCCTGATCCCCGTCCTTCTCTATATCCTTTCCTCAAACAACCCTCTTTAATCTTGCTCTCAATCTCTGTAACCCCTTGTATGCTAGTGGCACTCCTACCTTGCTTGGGGTGAAATGCTTAAAAAAACAACAAAAAAAAGTCATCTATTTTATGAACTTCTTTTTGTCATTATCAAATATTCAAATGTAATGTCAATCGACATCTTCTGATACCTTGATCCTGATCACTGTCCTTCTCAATATCCTTTCCCCAAATACCCCTTTTTACTCTTGCCCTCACTCTCTGTAACCCCTTGCATGCTAGTGGCATTCCCGCCTTGCTTGATTAAGATATACTACAAGTGTTTTGTCGAAAAAATCTTGTAATATCATATTCTTCAGACTGTCAAATACACTAGTCATTTGGAAAACAATCTCCTTTAACTGGTTCCCAAACAGCATGAATTTAAGCGTGCTACTAGGTTGGCATTTCGGTCCCACCCTTTCACTATCGAAACGGTTAAATGTAACCGCTTCTTCTACTCCAAAGATTCTACTCTCGCACTTCCCGACAATGGAACTCCCTTCCTTATACTTGCTTCCCTGATAAGTATAATCTTCATCAAATGTAATGTCAACCTGATGTCTTGATCCTGATCACCGTCCTTCTCTTTATCCTTTCCTCAAACAACCCTCTTTCCTTTTGCTCTCACTGTCTGTAACCCCTTGCGTGCTAGTGGCACTCCCGCCTTGCTTGGGGCGAAATGCTTTAAAAAATAAAAACATAGAAGCTATCACTGACGGTTACACAATCCATCTTATCTACACGGATGGCTCAAAGGATGGCATCAAATTGGATTGTCTGCCATAAAAAACAAAAAACGTAATGAAGTGACTTCCGAACAATAGATCTATATTTAACGCAGAGGTGGTGGCCATAGATTCAGACTCCATGTCAATACTCAAATCACTAAAAAAAACTGATTAACTCACTAATTATAATTCTTTTAAACAGAATTTAATATTTGTCAACATATAATTATATCATCATCTGTTGAATAACTAGTCATATCGACATCAAGGTGAAGGACAGGGTTGATTCGGCAACCACCAAAAATATTTCAAACACGAAGATCTTCTACACAGATATTCGTTCAACCATAGGGACATTTATCAAATAAGAATGGCAGAAATTATTACCTGGCACCCAAACAATAAATTATACAACATCAAACCTACTCTAGAAGAATGCCATCTAACACTAAAAACAAGGAAAGATGAAGGAATAATGTCCAGACTTCATATCTGACAATCCGTAACACGTTCTTATATTCTAAAACAAGAGCCACTTCCAATCTATACGACAAGCCCGTACTATGCACAATAAAACAAATACTTACAAATATAAATCCATTTAAAATACTACCGAACAATCGACATGAAAATTCTTTCAAGACATTAATCTGCAGAATACCTTTCAAGTTCTTAAAGTAATATGTACTCCAAAATACAACTTCAACAAAACTGTTATAGTGCAACACACCTATTCTATAGTTAATAGACTCTCCCACCTATAATAAGTAGGAGTATTAAGAGTAACGAATCAGTCGCTGAGTGGGTCGGTCAGTCAGTCGATGCCGGACGACCTTTAGTCGGATACTAAAGTATCAGCGACCACAACTAGATTTCTCTGCGTCATTACTTATTATATCAAGTTCCTAACGTTTTGTACATCAAACCTATTTTAGGACCGACTTAGTACAAATACAAGCCTCCACTG